CACTCGCTGTCCTCATCGCCTTGAAAGCATTTCAAAATCTACTTAATCCCTCAGCTGCTTTTGCAGAAATTGTCAAATGCTCCCATGGCAAGATTAACCTCAATCATAGGCTTCCCTCTCTGGTTCTCTTTCTTTCCCCAGAAACTGCCCCAATATTTCTTTACTATCTTGTTATCTCTATCATGCCTGCAAGTAGATTAATTATTTCCCCCAGGTTTTCAAGTTGTCCTAAGCAGGAAGGCTTGCCAGAACTATCGGCTCTGCCATTAGTGGAAATGTAAGTTCCATGTATTTAATAGTAATTTCCCACAGATTTTCTCAATGTTTTTAATGGGAGATGTCCCCTGTTAGTCCTTCATGTTGCCCCAGTGTAAGAACTAAGTGTCAAAATTATAAGACACTATATTCTACTGGTAAAATGCTTGGTCTCTGAAGTCAAAGAGATTTGGGTTTAAATAGTGGCTTTACATCTTCTTTGATATTTATATTTTACATTGTCTGAAAAAGAACTTGGAGATGATTTCCTGTGTTATTTGAAAGTCTAATTAATTGTGAAGATGAAACAAGATAATGTTAATAAAGCACTAGCATAGGGTTAACCAAATGAGAATACTCTAGAAACAGGTTGTCGAAGAAAGAAATCTTGGGACTGGCGAAGTGGTATAGTGGTTAAGTTCACACACTCCACTTTGGTGGCCCGGGGTTCGCAGGTTCAGATTCCGGGTGCAGACCTAGCACCTCTCATCAAGCCATGCTATGGTGGCATCCCACATAAAATAAAGGAAGATTGGCACAAGATGTTAGCTCAGCAACAATCTTCCTCAAGCAAAAAGAGGAAGATTGGCACTGGATGTTAGCTCAGGGCCAATCTTCCTCACAAAAAAAAAGAAAAAAGAACAAAAAGCAAAAAGAAAAAAAGAAAAAAGAAATCTTGGCTGTATGGAAATATATCCCTTTAAATAGAGAGATTCGGTGATTACCACCTCAATCAAATGATCAGACTCCCTCACTCACATAGTGGAACAATCAGATATGTGCTTCTTTATGTGATGCAATAATAAGTATATTACATCACCTATGCAGTATAATTGCTAAATGTTTTACCTGAATCGAATCATGAAGAGACAATCAGACAAGTCAATTACAGTACATTCTATTGGATAACCAGGCTGAGTTCTTAAAAAAAAGGTCAATATCCTGAAAAACAAAACCAAAGGCAGGGGGATGCTTCTGGTTAAAAGAGATTAAAGGGGCATAAAAAAAAAAATCGTATATATATGTAAACCTTGTTTGGCCCCTGAATTGGAAAAAAAATCTATAAAAGATATTTTGGGGGCCATTGGGGAAATTTAAATAGGGATTATAAATCAGATGACATTATTGAGTTAACAAACAATCGTAGATGTGATAACGACATTGTGTATAGGAGAGTGTACTTGTTCTTAGGAGACGCAGGCTGAAGGATTTAAGGGTGAAGTATCATCACTGTGCAACTTATTTTCAAATGCTTCAGCAAAAATAAATGATAAAACAAATGTGGAAACCTTAACCAACTGGTATATCTAGGTGAAGGGTATACATGAGAGTTTTTTGTCATACAGTTACTTTTCTGTGGGTCTAAAAGTTTTCAAAATAAAAAGTTGGAGGAACATTCTTGTTTCTTTCATTTGAGTTACTCATTCTCAAGGAAGTTTTTAATTCAGTCAATAAAATTTAGTTGAGTACCTATTATGTATTACATTCTCTTGTAGGTGCCAGGGAATGGCAATGAACCAGATAGACAAGATTGTTCTCTGAGTTTCAGTTTCCTGATCCATAAAATGGATATAAAGTAATAGTCCCCGTCCCCCCCCCCCCCCCCATAAGCACAATGCTTGTAGCAGAGTAGGCACTCAATAAATGATGGCTATTAGCCTGCTCCTTGACCCTGGCTGGATGGCTGGATGGCTGGCGTGGTGAGGTAGCCCCCTGGAGGGGAGGGCACAGGTCGGCCTGGGGGCCTCCATGGGGTGGGGCGTCTGAGGTGTCAGGGGTGCTCACCAGGCCTGGCCTTCACAGAAGTAGCAATAGGTGGGGGTCAGCCCAGGGGGGCTCTCCTTCGCTGTTCGCTGATGGGATGTCCAGCAAGTCCCTCCCTGCCCCTTGGCCCCAGTGGCCTCTCCTGCAGAATGAGGAGATGCTGTGGTCCTGCCTGGAGCCTCACTCACTGCACAAGGAGCTCTGCCGGGAGGCAGCACATGTGGGGTTGTCCCCGGTGATGAGGATGATTTTGGGCTGGTTACTTTTGAAAACTGCAGACAGGAAAGAGGGTCTGAAAAGTGGAATTTACTTGTCCTTTGTTAAGAGACATTTCCATTTGTAAGAGAGGTCTCCATCTGTGGGGGTGTCTCCCTCTCTGCACCAGCAAGAGGGGAGGATGACCTTATCTCTAGAAACTCTTAATGGGGAAGGCAAGGACATCCAGACTTAATCCGATCTGATTCTTATCTAAAGCTATAGGACCATCCAATAACCAGACCCCACCTGCACTGATAACATTTTAATGACTTTTTTACATAATCTTTCCTTTGCCTTGTAAAGAGATAACTCACATACCTATGCCTTAAATTTAGCCCTACCCTCAACCCATGCCTGCAGCTCTTACTGCCCATGGGTCCTGTCCCCATGCTATTCCATACTATTCTCTGAATAAAACAGCACTACTGCCAGAAAAAATAAATAAATAAATAAATAAATAAATAAATAAATAAATAAATAAATGATGGCTGTTATAATTGATCATCTTTGTCCTTTGTTGATCTAATTTCATCCATTTATCATTTTGGTCTTTCAACTCTACTTTAAATAAAAATGTGTGATTTTCAATCATATGTACCACTCTTTCCAAATCATTTCCTGATGTTACTACTCATTTATGTTACTATTATTGGGGCATTTGAAGTTTTGGAGAGAAGATGTTATACAAAGTCAAAGCAAAGATGAAATTAAAGTGGTTAGGGTACATTTTTCAAATTAGCCTTGTATATATGAGTATTCTAAGGTCTAAAGTTTATATTCACATAGATCTTGTTGATGATTATGTCCTAGTCTAAGGTTGAGTTATAAACTAGAAGTAACTAAAGAAAGGTTTCTAAAAAAGAAACCAAAAACGTTAGATCTTGAACTGATTAAATACTAAACACTGTTGGAAATTCCTTAATACTTTGTCCCAATAATCTTGCCTTTTTACAAACTGTGTATCCGTATGTGCTGTCTTATCTGAGTGACGGCACTCCTTCCTTCTACTCCACCCACTCGCGCTCAGACGCTAATGGCTTAGTTTGATAACTGTACAGTTCATTCTAAGTCCATAACATAAAATTTATCATTAAGTTCCCAAACTTGCCTTTCAGTATAGACTGTGATCATAGCTAATAACTTATTACATAAAAAGTTATTTTAATGCTACAGTACTAAAAAACCAAACTAAAGATTCTTCATACAACTTGCAAAAGAATACTTAAAACTGATTGGGATGACCCAATAATTAAAAATAATAAGTGATACTTTTGGGTTACATTTATTTTCAAGTGTTTATTCAAAAAAATAAAATAAAACATTTCTACTTTCCTATTCTTCTCTTATACCTTTTGAGAAGACTAGAACAATTATTCATATATTAGCATTAATATTAAGCATCCCATACATCTTATGGGTTGTACTTTGCATTTCAATACAATCTTGTCTGCTAACAATATAGCAAATTATTTTTATTATAAATTCTGGGTGGGGCTAAAATAAATAATATAGAAATAATTTAACAAATCTTTATGGAATATATACTATGTTCCAGGTTTGGGGAGCACAAAAATAAATAAATGGTCCCTACCATTAAGAAGGTTGCAGTCTAAAGGGGGAAACAGACAGATAAAAGAGACAATTTAAAGTAGCGTGATCGCTTTGAGAGTGGTAATGCACAAAGAACTACAAGAACCTTAAGAGGATCACTTAATCCAGAACAAGAGAAGTTAGGGACGGTTTCCAGGTCAAGATGATGAGTTTTAAAAAAGAGTTTACCAAGAAAAGAATTAATGGTGGGTGAGAGGAAGAACGCCCCCATAGAGGGAACTGCCAAATAGTCCTGGAGACTGCACTGGCCCCTTCCGACTCTAAGAAGATAGCGGGAGACAACCAGTCACCACCTTCGAGATCCAACAAAGGGAGTTTGTATAGAGTGGAGCATCTTTCGGATATTTGCCTATTTGTTAAATACTGGTTTCCTGGATTCTTATCTTTTGCGCTATAGAGCACACTTTCAGAAGAAAACCCCATACCAACTAAAATTCTTTGTAGGCACTTTTTCCAATGGTGCTGACCACAGATTCAGAAGGAACAATTTGGTATAGTGAGTACTAGATCATCTACTTTTAAGAAAAAGAGAACAAAACCTAAAGGTTCCCTGAAAACTATAAACTTTAACAAAGTCAGGTATATAGGGTTCTCTAAAATAATATTTTTCTTTCTTTTAAATGTGGAGAAAACAGAAAGGAGCTGCAAGTCCTTTGTCTCGGTTATCTACGAGTAGTACACTAGATGGTGCTGTAAGGCTGTCAGAAAGAAAGTTTTACCAAGAAAAAGAGTGTGGCAGTTCTGATGGCAGTTAAGTGTTCTGGAAACTTTCCACATATTTTCAGTCCCTGAGAGCAATTCCAGGTCTGTAGGCAAGTAACAGGACCTTAATCTCACAAGTTTTACCCCTCTAGTCAGATTAGTTTTAAACTAAACCACAAGTTTTTAAATACATTTTAAAATAGTTTCAATGTGTGACAATTCAACCTGATTCCACTGAAATGGAAATTTTTGTCATTGAAATAAAAATTTATTATACATTTAAAAATATTGCCATTAATTTCATTTAGGTAGTCTTCCTGTGAGCCTCGTTATGTCTACTACTTAATGAATCTCTAAGTCAGCGTCTTCAAATGGTTTCCTGAATTTTTAAATTATCATTAAGCAGAAAATGCCAAACTCTCTTATCTTTATTAAAGTACTGCAATATACTAATACAAACACATGAAATAATACATTTTGAAATCACTTTATCAGTATAGTATTTCTCATATAAATAACATTTCATGATTTTTCCACATTACAATAAAACCAGAAAAATATTTTTTACTAAAGTGCAAAATAAAAACAAAGCTTTACTTTTACATATTTTCCACTTAGTTTGCTTTTAAATTTTAAATATTAAAAAGGAGAACAAAAAAATGAATGGATAAAGATAGACTTTTTGCAACTTGAGTCTTTAGTTTTAAACTCTTGAAGTTATGAGATCTGTTTGTGATTTTTCTGCTTATCTTTCCAATTCTGCTTCTAGAATTTCCCCCCACGTATCTGCATCCATCGGGTACATGATTTTTTCTGGTAGGCTAACAGGAGAACATATGTTGCTGTATCTGCCGCTTAACCATTCATGTTTCACTTTACTCTTCTGGTAATTCCTCAGTAGTATTACCTGAAAGAGGTAAACCATCATCGTTAAAGAAGGTAGTAGGTGGTTGGTTAGTGAGTTTTCTTTGAAATTAGAGAAGCTGATTGACAGGTCCAAAAAGAAGACCAAGTATTTACATTAATACACACACATACTAATAAATGTGTCTGTGTGTGTATGCATGTGTGTGTGTATATATATATATATATATATATAATATAATATATATATATATACAGAGATAGAGTGAACCACAGTTTGCTGAGGGTTTTGGATAAGGAGGGATGAAAAGAAGTAGCCACTTTCCTTCTGGTTAACAGAGAAAAGTGCGTGAATTCAGGATGTAAAAACTGCAAAAGGATGGATGGGGGACAGTGCGGTTTGCAGGAAAAGAATAATAATTCAACTTGAATGCCAAAAGTCAACACACACTGGATGTCACTCCGTATATGGAATCCTACATCCTCCAAGCAGAAGGTAGAGTTGGCTCAAACCCACTGCCATATTGTCAAGAACACCGTAGACGACAAAGATTAAACGTACCCTCCAGGAATAACCCCTTTTCTGATCATCATCTATTTCTCTTTGGCACACAGCCCGTACAGTCAAGCAATGAGGTTTCCATAAGGAGTCGCTGTTCCTTATTGCGTAATTCCAGCTCCTGCATGCCACTGACGCTCTGCACAAACTCCGAATGTCCAGCTGACTGAAAATTTTAAAAGTAACTTCTGGAGGCAGCAGTTCAACAAAGTTATTTTGACTTTCTTTTTTTTCCTTGTCAGCATCCACAGAGTTCAATTCTATGTCAGAAACTCCTGAATTACTGTTCCTCTTGGAGTTTTTCTGCATAGCTTGATGTTTGTGTAAATTATATTCTCATATGTAACCTAAAAGGCAAAGTTTAAACTTAGTCTCTTCAGATCAGACTATAGATCCTACTCTGAGCCAGATACTTTCTGGGTATGATTTAAAGAACTTTAACTTTCTTGAGTTTCTCAATCTGCAAAATGAGGCCAGTGACGCTCTTCTTCCGTGTGTTCTTGCAAGGATTAACAGGGATGACGTGAAAAACATCCAGCCTCACACTGGCATTGCACGTGGGAAGCACTCAACACATGTTATTTCCCTTCTTCTTTTAAAATATTTTTAGTAAATGGGTTTGTTTCTAAACATTTATTTTTCTGCTCCCAAAGAACATTATCTAGAAAAGAGAAATGAGGAAAAAAAAGAGAAGTGATTCTTCACAGGCTATATTTTATTGAATTTAGTAGTAGAAATGACTATTGTGAGAATACATTCGATTCCAAACATTTATTAAAATACTTTTGAAAATGTGTATGATTCAATTCTATTGAACTCTTGAATATTTGTCTATGGGAACCGATGCCTTGTCATTAAGTTCTTCATCCACAATTTGTGACTTAAGCAGAAACCTGATGGCCTTTTAGTAGCATATGTAAGAATTGTTTATCCACTCGTATCTAATAGGTAAGAGCTCTCATTTGACACAAATACTATCTGAAATTGACAAGAGGTTGAGGTCCGGGTTATAGTGATACAAAGTCTCAACTATTCAATTCATTTATAAGATTAGTGTTTTAAAAATGGCCTCTTGAGGGGCCAGCCCAGTGGCACAGAGGTTAAGTTTGCACATCCGGTGGGCGGGGGTTCGTGGTTCCGATCTCAGGTGCTGACCTATGTATAGCTTGTCAAGCCATGCTGTGGTAGGCGTCCCACACATAGAATAGAGGAAGATGGGCACGGATGTTAGCTCAGGGTCCATCTTCCTCAGCAAAAAGAGGAGGATTGGCCGCGGATGTTAGCTCGGGGATAATCTTCCTAAAAAAAAAAAAAGGGCCTCTTGAAGTTATCCTACATGCCAAGTTAATTATGAACTAAAGATAATAGTTACTGAGGCCATCAAGGAACAGTGACTTACAACTATAAACAATGTTTATAATTCAGGTAGGCATAGCATGTGACCAAAGATTTAAAGTCCAGTTTCAGCTAATTTACCTAAGGTGCATGGTATAGGTTTCTGCAATCAGCTGAAAGCGTGGAGCTATTTTTGCACATAAAGACAACTCATATTTACTTAAAATCAGTTTATTCCATTTTGCACTTGCTTTTCTAATAGGGGGTTCCGGTGCAGGAGCTGGGGTTTAAGACACAGCTAAATACTTCTGTTAACTCAGCTAATGACAATTTCCCTTTCTAGATGTGCTACTCACCTATATGTTTCTGGACTTGCCAAGACCACAGCTGCTCCCATTCATCTGTTTTTTACGATCCAAATTAGCTAAGGTGGTTAGAATTTTACTGTCCTAGTTCGACAGAGGACTTCCTCTTGAGGGTTTGGGGAAGTAAGAAAGTAAGCGGGTAAAAACGAGTTCGTGAATCAAGAGCAAGTTTTGCCACGCCCCCCCCCCCCCCAATACAAACCAAAGCCAAACTACCATATTCTTGAAAAGAATCTCATATTAGGAGAAAGTTACTGTGCATTTAAATGTTTGTTACCTCTCCCAGGATCTTACTGGGGAATAAAATGCGTTCTCCCGGTACAGTTACTCCACCGGAGGCAGATCAACGCTTTTGAGTATAATAGTCGGGGGTGCCTTGCGTGAAGTTCCTAAAATCCTATTAGGTACCTTTCTTCTAAGTCCAGTTTTGCCTGGAGCCTGAAAACCCTCTCTCTTCTGCCCTTTCTTCTTTATGAACATTTTGCTGAATTACCTCTCTAATTAGGTAGGAGCTCATCCCCCTTTCAGGTGTCACACAGAGGGAGGGGACTGGAGGCAGCGCAGACGGAGGGGCGCTGCCCGGTTCTCTGGGAGCCCCTACCCGGTCCGGACCCCGCAGGGGTCTGAGCCACCCTCCTTGCGTGCCTCGCGCAGGCTGCACCTGCCACAGTCCAAAAAACACCGGACACTGACACGTGAACAACGATAACGACCGGCAGCACCGACTGTCACCGCAGCGCGGGGCCGCTGAGCGAAGGCTGCGCTGGCGCCAGGACCGCGGCCCCGAGCGTGCCCATCTGACGTCTGCGGGAAGGGAAAATCCTCCTACCTCCTGGGCCGCAGCGACTTCTCCTCTCGCGATTTAAATCCTGCAGAATTCGAATTTTTCCCCATGGTCCCTTACGTCCCGCCCACTCTAGCCCGGTCTTGCTGAGTCGGATTTCGCACAGGCGCAGAGAGGAGCGCGCACTGCCTTTTGGGATTGGTAGTTTTACCAGGGCGTCTCAGCTCGGCAAGGGACGAGAAGGAAGGCGCCAGAGACTACAAGGTCCGGCGTCCTCCAGGACGGGAGGGCGGTGAGAAGGAGTGGGGGAGTTAAACCGGGGCTTTTAAACAATAATTTTGAGCCGGCGTGACGGGGGAATCCCAGGGTGCGTCACTGGTCGGAGTGAAGAGGCGGGGCTTGGACTTGGTTTTGGGTCTCCTGCTGCGCGGGGACTGGACGCAGTTGAGCGGAGTCTTTGCTTCCCCTCCCCCTGTGTTTTTCCGGGCGCCGGCGTAGGTCCCGCGCCTGTCCATGGAAGGCGGAAACGGCCGCGGGGTCCATCTCCTTGCCAAGGGGTCTGATCCTCGCCGCCATGTCTGGGGGCTTCGAGCTGCAGCCGCAGGACGGCGGCCCCCGGGTGGCCCTGGCGCCCGGGGAGACGGTGATCGGCCGCGGGCCGCTGCTGGGAGTAAGTGTGGCATGGGGCTGGGCCGGACCCGAGAGCCGAACGAGGTCCTTGCAGGCTCCCGAGGCCCCACTCCGCGTCCTGGCCCGATTCCCCATCACGGCGGCCCTGCCTGTCTGGAGTTTAGAAGTTTGGGGGCAGCTCGTTTTACAGTCACGTTGAATCAACTCACCAACGTTTCCTTATGTTGCCTTTAAAAAGCACTGACTTATGTTATCATCATCGTACTCTTATCCAGGACTCGGCAAACTGTGGCCATGGGTCCAAATTCAGCCTGTTTTTGTATATGCCCACTTACTAAGAATGGATCTTAAATTTAAAAATATAAACAAACAAAAAACCTCTTAGCTCTTTAGAGAGAATAATTGCTGCAAGGGTTGAGGATATTGCCTCTTGGCCTGACAAGGCACAGTATCTGTACTAGTATCTGGCCCTTTGCAGAAATGGTTTGCCAACGTCTGGTCTTATCTTTTTTTGTTTGTGCAATTTACACCTTTCGCCCTCCTTCCACCCGCTTCCCCTCTGGTAGCCAGCAATCTGCCTTTCACATAAGGGTGAGATCATGGTATTTGGCTTTCTCCGTTTCACTTATTTTGCTTAGCATGATACCCTCAAGGTCCATCCATGTTGCAAATAGCAAGATTTTATCTTTTTTAATTTTTATGGCTAAGTAGTATTTTATTTTGTGTGTGTGTGTGTGTGTGTGTATATATATCACATCCATTCATCCGCTGTTGGACGCTTGGGTTGTTTCCAAGTCTTGGCTATTGTGAATAAATGTGAACGTAGGAGTACACGTATCTTTTCGAATTAGTGTTTTCGTGTTCTTTGGATAAATACCCAGAAGTGGAATAACTGGATCATGTGGTAGTTTTATTTTTACCTTTTTGAAGAACCTCCATACTATTTTCCATAGTGTCTGCACCAGTTTATATTCCCACCAGCAGTGTATGAGAGTTCCCTTTTCTCCACATCCTCTCCAACACCTGTTGCTTTTTGTCCCATGTGAGACGATCTCTCTTTGTGGTTTTGGTTTGCATTTCCCTAATAATTAGGGATGTTGAACATCTTATCATGTGCCTGTAGGCCACCTATATATCTTCTTTGGAAAAATGTCTGTTCAGATCTTCTGCCCATTTTTTAACCTGGTGTTCTTTTGTGGTTGTATGAGTTCTTTATATATTTTAGATATAACCCCTTATTGGATATATGATTTACAAATATCTTCTCCCAATTGGTAGGTTGTCGTTTTGTTTTGTTGACGGTTTCCTTTGCTGTGCAGAAGCTTTTTAGTCTGATGTAGTCCCATTTCTTTATTTTTTCTTTCATACCCTTGCCTGAGGAGATGTGGTATTCAAAAAAATGCTGCTAAGACCGATGTCAAAGAGGGTATTGCCTATCTTTTCTTCTAAGAGTTTTATGGTTTCAGGTCTTACATTCAAGTCCTTAATCTGTTTTGAGTTAATTTTTGTGTATGGTGTAAGATAGTGGTCTACTTTCATTCTTTTGCATCAGGCTGTCCAGTTTTCCCAACAGCATTTATTGAAGAGACTTTCTTTTCCCCATTGTATGCCCTTGGCTGTTTTGTCAGAAATTGGCTGTCCATAAATGTGTGGGTTTATTTCTGGACTTTCAATTCTGTTCCATTGATCTGTGTGTCTGTTTTCCTGCCAGTTCCATGCTGTTTTGATTACTACAGCTTTGTAGTAAATTTGAAATCAGGGAGTGTGATGCCTCTGGCTTTGTTCTTTTTTCTCAGAATTGCTTTGGCTATTCAGGGTCTTTTGTTGTTCCATATAAATTTTAGGATTCTTTGTTCTATTTCCATGAAAAGTGGTATTGGCACTTCGATGGGGATTGCATTGACTCTCTGGATTGCTTTAGGAAGTATGAACATTTTAACTGTTAATTCTTTCAATCCAAGAGCATGGAATATCTTTGCATTTCTTTGTGTCTTCTTTGATTTCTTTCAACAGTGTTTTATAGTTTTCATTGTACAGGTCTTTCACCTGCTTGGTTAAATTTATTCCTAGGTATTTTATTCTTTTTGTTGCAGTTGTAAATGGGATGATATTCTTGATTTCTTTCTGCTATTTCATTATTAGTGTATAGAAACGCAATGGATTTTTATATGTTGATTTTGTACCCTGAAACTTTACTGTATTCATTTATTATTTCTAATAGTTTTTTGGTGGGTTCTTTAGGGTTTTCTATATATAAAATCATGTATCTGCAAATAGTGACAGTTTCACTTCTTCCTTTCCAGTTTGGATCTCTTTTATTTCTTGCCTAATTGCTCTGGCTAAGACTTCCAATGCTATGTTGATTAAGAGTGGTGAAAATGAGCATCCTGTCTGGTTACTGTTCTTAGAGGGGTAGCTTTCAGTTTTTCATCATAGAATAAGATGTTAGTTGTGGGTTTGTCATATATGCCTTTACTATGTTGAGGTACATTCCTTCTATCCCCATCTTATTCAGCGTTTTTATGATAAATGGATACTGAGTCTTATCTATTGCGTTTTCTGCATCTATTGAAATGATCATGTGTTTTTTATTCTTCATTTTGTTAATATGATCTGTCACATTGATTGATTTACAGATGTTACACTATCCTTGAATCCCTGGAATAAATCCCACTTGATCGTGGTGTGTGATCGTTTTAATGTGTTGTTGTATTCGATTTGCTAATATTTTGTTGAGGATGATCTTTATCTTTTCTAGAATAATTTCTTTTAAACTTTTGGCCCTTTTTATGGGACTCTGTGGTCCTTACTTTTATTGTAATAGTCTTTTTCAATAATATCAGTAGCTAACCCTTATGTAGTGTGTAGTGTTTCAAGCATTGATTTAAAGTCTTTGCATATACCGACTTCTTTAATCCTTTCAAAGCCCTATGAGTTAGGTGCTCTTATCATCCTCATTGTTTAGATGAGATGATTGACCCATAGATTGGTTATTTAAAGGGCACACGTAAGTTTTTGGACACACAGTGTCTTAAGTTCTATATTCTCCACCCTCTTTTGGATATTTAGGAGTTAGAAAATTTGCCTGTAACATTCAGGAATTTTGTAGATCTCTCCCTAAATACATATATATTCTTTCGTAACATGCATCATATCTTGTTTAGTGCCCACTTTGTGCAGCACAGTTTGCAGACCCTGGCACTGTGGAGCGTACAAAGATGAGTGAGACGTGAGTCCCTGCCCTCTAGGAGTTTTCTCTTGGACTGTGGAGACAAACCTGCGTAAGTGAACTAATAGCAGGGAGTAAGGAGTGTGGAATATTATCCTGATTAACCTCCAGTGTCTAAATGGAACCACTGGTGTTAGCCTTAGGACCCTCCTCGAAGCAAGAAAAGGAGTGATAGTTCAAGTTTGTGATGGGGAAGCATGTCCTAAAGGGGTCTATGTGTATGTGTGTGTATGTACATGTATGCGGTAAGGTTATTGAGAAAGTGGAAGTTCACCTGCTGTTTATTTTTTTGCTGGATGAGTAATTACTTAAATGTTTAAATAGCATTCTGTTACTTTTCTCCATAGTTTATTAACCTATACAAACATTTGAAGGAACTGCCTGGGAGGTTTTCCTTCTCTTTCTCTCTCTTTTCTCTCTGTATCTCTCTCTCTCTCTCTCTCTCTAAGTTAGAAATTTAACAGAGTATGCGCTTCATCCAGAAATGACTAATGAGTTTTGATTTGCTTGACAAGTTGTATCACCAACACAGAATCATGTGAATCTGGTTAAAAGATCGATGTATTTTGGGCCTGTGTTTTATAAACGTGGCAACATGTTGCAGACTCTTTCATTATTTTGATCTTTGTGTTACAGGCTTACTAATGTGAGATGACTTATTTGTTTTCTGTTGTTCCTGGTAAGGAGTAGAAAGTTAATCAATTATCTGGTCAGGATTTTGCTTTTCCTTTTCAAATAATCATTCAGTGATAAGATTCTCTTGCCAGGTTTGGCAGATATTAGAAGTGGTTATGAACAATATCCTAAATGCATTGAAGGAAAAATTGGAAGAACAAACAGATCACCTTATGGTTTTTAAGATTCTGGAGCTGAGAGACACGTGTGTTTCTTCTCTGCATTTGTTAAAACTCGACAGGAGAGCTGCTGTTTCAAACGATAGCAATACTAAGGATGGGTTTTAAGCTCCCTTACTTAACTAGCATGTGTTTTGGAGACAACTTTCACAAACCTTCATGGCCACACAAGTACGAAGGTTTGTAATTCCAGTGTGTAAAACAGTCATGGTAGTAAAACAGTTTGACAACGAGAATGTCTTTATGCCTCTACAGTGGCAGGAAAATACTTGTCGATAAGAGAGTGCGGTGAAGTTTACTTTTCTGGCGCCTTTTGCTTTAGTGTGCATCATCAGCAAATCCAAGGTCTTTAGTTACTTTACTAGGTTGTAATTCTGTTTTATGATCTTCACCAATAAGTAAAAGGTTCTACAGCAGGATGAGTCTCCAGGGAATTATCCAGGGTGAAAACAGTCAATCCCAAAGGTGACATATTGTATCATTTCATTTATGTAATGACATTGAGGTGACAAAATTATAAAAGTGGAGAACAAATTAGTGGTTTCCAGGTTTAAAAAAGCGAGGAGAGGAGCAGGAGGGAATTGGGTATGGCTGCAAAACAGCAACGTGAGGGATTTTTATGGTGATGGGAATGTTTTGTATCTCGACTGTATCAAAATCAGTATCTGGTTGTGATCCTGTACTGTAGTTTTGTAGGATGTTACTGCTAGGGGAAACTGGGTAAAAGGCACCAGAGGTCTTTCTGTATCATATCTTTCAACTACATGTGAATCTACAACTATCTTAAATAAAAAATTTAATTAAAAAATATTTTATAATATATACAGCATCTCAAGCAAGAGTACCTTTAAACCTAATTATTTACTTTATGGTTTTCCTTTAATTCAAGCTGATTACAGGGGTCAGCCCAGTGGCCGAGTGGTTAAGTTCAAGCACTCCACTTCAGCAGCCCAGGGT